TAATGATGACATCAAAGGTGTGAGATTATTACAGTAGCACAAGTAAACAAACTGGTACATGAATTCTATAACCAGCCAGAAACTCTTCTGAAATTATCATCAGAAGATTTTTTTTTTAAGTTTTTAGTTTACCATGATTTTACTATCACAATATTATTTATATGGCATTTTATATTTTATGTGCTCAAATGATAAAATAAATGATATAAATATAATCAAATACTTGTAAAATTGTTTAAAGAATAAAATAAAGGCAAAGATTAAGGGCAGCTTACAAGAAGCAGCTGCTACTAGAAGCAATGAATGCTTAATCTACACTACGGAAATGAACAAATCATCGCAGAAAAAAAAAACAGTCAACTATCAAATCCCTCGGTTCGAAGTCTGTCTATATCGTGAATGACGGGGAAATGCCAAATATTAATAGCAATCTGTGCACATTAACAGGAAAATACAGTCTCTACTACAAAGGCCCTTAATCAGTTTCAGCTACAATTATAATTAGCTTCTTCTACTCATATATACCAACCAGCATTGGTAAAAAAAAAAAAAAGTTTTTATAAAATATTACTGTATATGATTGGGAATATTGGAGATGACCGCTTTAGTCATTATCTGAACATGCCACTGGTCAATGTTTTAACAGTCTGTCTACTGTGTATGTTGAATTCATAAAAAATAAATAAATCAAATTTGTATCTATTTATATGGCATAAATCTGACATTTTTGTTTTTCATGTTGTATTTCTCACTCAATAGTAACTGTAATGTAAGTTGCAATTTATCTTGATGACATGGTACACCAGTACCTTTAATGTACCTACAACATATTATCTCAGCAACAAACAAGATTTAAATAAATAAAACAATTATATTAATAATACATACAGTATTGTTTGAAGGTTTGCATGGAGAATGAACAAATTAAATATTTGCGGTACACTGCATGAATAGTTCTGAAAAGGACTATGTTGAAAATAGCTCAACTGCCAGAATTGTTCTATGTTTTCAGGAGTAATGAGTTTGTCATCTAAAGATATTATATATAACACAGCTCCACCCTAGTGTCAGCCAATCAGCGTCAAGCTAAAAGCAATTTATTCGACAAGCAACATGATTTCTTAACACATATTGTAACTAGTCCTTTTCTGATCCATGTGGTGTACACTGTAAATTTCATTAATATTAATGTTAACATTTTAATAATCAATACAGTATGTGTGGACTGCTAAAGAAATGTTGGTAAGAATGTACAGTAATTGATAATATAATATAAATCTTTTTAAGATTATACTGAAATTAGATTGAAATGTGGCATATTTTATTGTATATTATTGGCTTTATCAAAAAGAATTAATCTACCATAGAGAAAATGTGTTCTATTTCTCTATGAATCTACCATACAGAAAAAAGAAGTTTTTTTAACAATGTAAAATAATAAGACATTGCGAGCATTTCTGTAGCATTTAATAATATTAACTTACCAAAAAATAAACGATTCACCTGACATTTTCAAAACGAAATCCAAAAATCCTTTACAGACTAGAGCAAATTTGAACTGAGTTGATTCATGTACTGTAAACAGAATGAAAACCACACATTAAAGACAAACCATCTTAAAATGGCGTCCAATAAACAGACCTTCACCGCTGCCAATCCACTAAACAATCCAAACCAAGAAAATACATTGAATGAACCCTAGTAATGCTAACTTAAATGACCATGACGAAAATCAAAATAAGGTCAACGAAAAAGAACACACAATCCGTGGATTATAAATAGATTAAACAATTCAAGTAATTGTGTTTGTAGAGGGGAGTTTGTAGTTAGCAAGAGCATGGATCAAGGGTAATAAACAAAAGAGTTGCACTTGTATTAAACATGGGTTAAGATCAAGAGAACAAGAACACATGCTGAACAGTTTGCTGGAAAATCAACGGAAAGCATTATACCTTTTGTGATTACAACACGTCCCTTGAACCAAAACTTCATCAATTCTTTGTACTGAAGGCAACCCCTCATCTTTTGTATTTAATTATTTTGGGAAAACTTTTATTATACCTTGTTTCACAATACAGTAAGTGCAATAGGATGTATTCTGGATAAGATAGTTTAATACATACTCCAAGTACCGAAATGCTTACTTTAGGCAAACTATTCATTTTTATGTTGTAAAAATGTTAAAATTTTAATTTTTTTTTTTTTGGGTTAGCCTGGGAATCTTAATTATTTATCTGTTCTTAATTGTTTTTATTTTGTATTTATGAAATCTTTTGTGATTTGCATACAAATAATAAAATGAAATGAAAAACACTGCATCCACGATCATGATGATTTCCAATAGAATTTATACTTTTGAAATGAATGGGCAGGCTAAATTTTAACTAAAAATGGCCATTCAACTCCCAAATTGATTTTCTTTGTATAGTACAACGTCAATCCTTTATCAGCAGGTGCTTTATGAAATAACTGAAAATAACTGTAAAAAGTAGCAGCAGCATATACAAGAATGACATACAGTCAAATATATCAAAAACTGCATTATCTTAGCATATATAGCATTTTCTTCAGGAATTAATTAAATTAAGTTTCTGAATTAAATTATCCATAAAAACTATTTCACATAAACAATTATGCAATATAATACCCACATTTCATCATAACTACTTTGTTTACTCAAAGCAATTGAAGTTTAAAAATAATATGTCTTCCATAAACAAATGCAATATTTATAAAAACAGTACACTGTACTAGTAGTTTGTGTGAACATGATTTGATACTAATTTACTATTCATTTTCTTTGTTAACTAAAGTAAACAACTTCAACTACTATTTCCCTATTGAGTAGAATTTTATCAAGAAAAGAAATTGCAGCTGATCAAATATGCAACGGTTTAATGATTTGTCTAAAAGCTACTAAGTGATTCGAACCCAAAACCTTGGAATTGGAAGGCAAGCTTGTTAAACAACCATGCTATAGGTTCACAAAAATGTAAATGAGGATAAATTAAACCATAAATAGTTAAGAAATACTCCTCCCTTCCTGAGTCATCTGAGATGGTGATTAGTATCTACCCGCTAGAATATCTGCAAATGCAACAGGAAATCATAATAGCATGCATTTATTGATTTTCTCTACGCAAATATTACACACTCTTCCACTGGCTGTTCACAAAGAAAACCTGACTGATCTTTCGCAGTTTAGTATTTTTATGTTTAAGAAGTCTTATTAGACTTCTACTAAGGCTACAGAATCACAAAATAGGCCTTTAGGAAAATCCTTTAAAAACTCTATTTTTAATAATTGCTAAAATGTATCAAAAAGTTATGAACTTCCAAGTCACAAAACTGCAGACTTTTTTTTCTTATTCATAAAATTTTTTAATAAGATATTCCTTAAAATATAGTTGTTAGTATTTTTTCACAGAAATTATCTGGATACACTTAACAATAACTCAAATTTGAGTTAGTTTTTGAAGTACCCTCTGTGTAAATAAAACACTTTACATATGACTCATAGATCTACATGTACTCTATGGATCTGAGTCTCTGACTGTTGGACTAAGCATTAAGAAGTTACAAATGTAGACATTTTATTATTACAATAACTATCCACTTGATACATAAAGTTTCCAGTGGTACAAATTATGGGGAGATCTGGTTAAATATTTTAAATTAAATTTATTATATCATACTGTGCATTGTGCATAGTGATCTGTGGCTTATCCAGGATTTGTAGCAGGGGGAGTCGATGGGTGCGGTCGACCCCCCTTTTAAAGAAAGTGCCCTTTAAATATGCTCGCTTCACTCATAAATAATGCACCCCGCGAATTCTGAAAGCTTCGCTAAATTGCTCCGAGTTCAGCTTTCCCCCATGCGCTTTCGATTCGACCCCCCCCCCCCTTAGGTTTTTCACTGTACGTCCCTTTGTAGAGGAGGGGGTGCTGGGATATAGAAATAATACATATTACATCCATTGAACTTTACGCAAGGTGCAAAACTAGGGAGATACAGTAGAGCACGATGGCTATGACTACACCGTAAATTGTCTGTTAATGCCTAACCCCCTATACATTTTCTCTGTCCCCAACAAGAACGTTTGCTGAGTGTAACAAGCTGCCACCAGATGTCCGACAAGCACCCTCGATATCAAATTTTAAAACTAAACTAAATTCTATGGACATCGCCAATACTATTGGGGGGGGGGGCCCGTTTCATGTAAGACCCAGTCACCATGCACATCCCTGCCGGGAGTTTATGCAGTGTTTCACCAAAACCAGAAGTAACTACTTTTTTTTTAAATTTGCTTCCATTAATTTACTATATTTGTTTTTTCACGTTTTCTTCAGGCACCGTGAACACCCACTCTGGTTACACTACTGGTCAGTGGTAATGATAAACATTAATTAGTAGTCATGATATCATTAGTCGTAATGATACATGGCCAGATGACTTCATTCAGGCCGGAAGAAAATAATGGTAATTTTAATACAAATATACAAACACAGATGACCAACATTTACAAAAACTTACTGTACGTTCTTCATTCTAGCTACATCTCTGGAACTGGATCTCGATTAATTATACTCCGAAAAACGGATACCAGCATCACATCAGAGTTTAGTAGATTACGTAAGATAATTAATTAGACAAATGACAGATTCAGATCGAGATCAGTAAAATTTGAGCAGTTGAATTTATTTTGCTGTTGCCTAGGGCTAAGGGCAAGTATTTCAAAAACCATTTCTATAAAACGCTTTTGTTTAAAATCCATGATGCCGATCGCAGCATATAGAATTGTTCGAGGGCAGTCGGCTGTGTGCTGAGCAAGATTGGGAGACATGATATAGGTATAGCAGTCCAGTGAGATTCGGTGTACTGGTTGACTTCCATTGATTTAGTTTTAGGCTAGCTAGGAAGGAGCACAAGTAAACACACACAAATCATGTTAATTTTTTTACACTTTATCAAAATCAGATTAATCATTATTTCGCACTTACCACATTTTCTGGCCGTAAAAAGTTCCCATGTTGAAAGTCTGTGTCTTAAGTACGTATGCTTAGTAACGGGAAGCAAGGTGGCGTACTTCTGGTAACGATGGCCGCCATGTTCTACTCCGAATGAATCATACCAACGTGCCTCAATTTAAAACCTGAATATTCCATTATCTTGATGGGTAATTTATTGGATTTGCCAAATTAATATTGATGCAAAAATATATTAAAACCAAATCTAAATTAGGAATATAATGTACAAGATAATCTATAAATATTTTAATCTAGTAAACATTGCCTTTGTCTACAGTTCATTGCATTTTATTAATTGAATATACATATATTAAATTTAAAATAAATAATGGTAGGTCTGTTTTTGTTTTAACATTTCCAGGGACTTCAAACAGGCTCTGCAGGGAAAACATGCTTTTTGTGTCTTTTAGAAAAATCAGTTCTGCAACATATCAAAATTTTGTTTTTCCTCCGGAGCCTGGCTAGCAAAAATTAGGGATTACATTAGTGGCGTATCCATTGCTTACATAATCCTATATTAAAAAATGAATTGCTTATATTTCAATAAAATAGGGAAATTTCACAATCTTACGAACGATAACGAATACGAATACGTCATCTTCATTATCGTCATTCGCGTGCCTAAAACGCTACTGTATATTTTTGACGAAACCGTATTAATATCGGAAGTTTTTGTAAGCTTCCAAAACTTCCTAGTACATTAATTTGTGTTATAATACACTTTTTTTTTATAAGAACACATTTTATACTAGCACTGAGGCTGAAAACAAGTTGCTTTAAAATTAAGAACAAAATAAGAACAAATTGAGGCTGAGGTAAAATTTCATATGAGGTTTATATTTTTAAAAACCAAAATATTATGTCTATACATTATGTGCAGTAGGTGTGACTGTAATATCCTCTTTAAAACTAGTACAGTCGTAGGTGTACCTATCTGACACATTGTGGGCCATTTTTTGTCGGTTCACTTTCACCTACATTCCAGTACAGTGCATACGGCCATACAATTAAATATTTTTTGTTTAAAAGGTGTGTAAACAAGAACAAACTAAGAACATTTTGAGCCTGAAATCTGCCAAAAAATAAGAACACTGAACCTGGGCAAAATTTTACTGGTTCTTATATTTAAAAAAAAAGTGTAATACTTTATTGTTTTTGCATCTGTGACAGCTAGACTTATTAAAACTGTAAACTGTAAATACATGTTGCAGTCTCATACAACATTGAGTGGGAAAATCAAATTAACCAAAAGCCTTCTCTTAAAAATTATTCAAAATTGAAATCTACACCAAGCTTCGAAAAATATCAGTGATAAAACTAATTTTATGGGGGTAAGTCTAAAATTTAAATTAAGGTCCAACACATTACCCCTTGATGGCAAGACCTGCAAATGGTCTAAAGAAATTACTGGTCAGTGTACCTTGTGCCAAAGTGGCGAAACCGAAGATATTCGTCATTTTTTATTTAACTCTAAATCATTTGATATAATCAGAGAGGCAGAATTAGCTATTTTAAAACAAGACCTTGAACTTTGCAATGAGACTGTAACTTGGAATACTTTCTCTCTCAGAATCTGATATTGATGATAAAATTCATTTTGTTCTTGGGAGGGAGGAAATAAACTCTTTAATGATGATGTTCAATCTGCATTTGATAGATATTGTAAAAAATTTGCTAAAAAAGCTTGGGATAGAAGATCAAATTTAAAAATAGGTTAAATGCATTGTTGCTTTGGTAATACATATATTTCTTTTTTATGTTTAAAATTAATTTCTTTTTTATACTTTTATAACGCTTTGTATATATGTAGAATATATATGTATGTATGTAC